AAAAAAAAAAAAAAAAAAAAAGATCCTGCCTATGTGTTTATAAAACATGGACTTGGGAAAAACCCAGTTAATTTACCAAGCAATTCTGTGATCTCTCAGCATATTATAATTAACAGGACAATGGCAAGTTTCAATGTGCAAGTCTTTTTGGATACCTCTTCCTAGTCTTGGGATTTTCTCTATTCCTGTTTAGAGTGTACAGAGTTGACCTACTGCCGTTTTTGTTCCTTTTGCTTGACAGAATCTCAAGCAAAGCCTTGACCATAAATAAAGCAGTAGGGTCTCAGAAGCCAGCTGAGTCATAAACCCCACTCAGCTGCATGTGACTCAAGGTGTTGGGATCCCAAGAGAGTCAAGCCAAGCAACTGGAATCAATTTAAATCAGAGTTTGGAAAATCAAACCCCACCCCACTTCCCTACCCCAACTGGCAGTAGAAGATACCACAATCCCTCTCCCACAGCTCAAATACAGGGACGGTAACGAAGCTCAGGAAAACATCTAGACCAAAGCAGACTTTATTTCCACAACCTAAAAGCAAAACAAAACAAAACAAAACAAAAAGATATTTGACAACCAACCACAAATTTTTAAATGTACGGTTCTTCTGTTTTTAAGCACAAAAGCAGTCTTTTTGCTGCAAAATTATCACCATCCCATTTTTTGGACATTTATGCCCAGTACTATTTGGCCCTTGGGTACTTGGGCTTATTACTTTAAAAATACAGAGTTAAGCATGTTTAAATCACTTCAAGCATCTCAAAAAGCAGCAAACACCCAGCCTACCTGCTTGGGCATGCAAACAGAAGCTTTATAAAATGGCCTGAAGGTCAACAAATTCTGGTCTTGGCAGACTAATGTAAGGAAAGAGCTATATAGAAAATAAGGTTCTGAGTATAAAAATTACTCTACCTTTGGTTCCCTCAAGCCAAAACTTGGAACTGTTGGCAAACATGCTGTATAAAACTACACCTCTCATAAATTTCTAAAAACTCCCAAATATGGTCACTTAAAACTGTATACAAATAAGAAACATTTAATGAACAACCCCTGCTTCACCAATAACTCTGCTTAAATTAAGTCCAGGAGACTCTTCAAAGGGATCAGAGAAGCCCCCTTGTTAAGACAAATTCTATATGTAGACATGCAAGACAATTATATGATGCATGTAACCAAATATATATAATTATCCTAGTTTCTACATTCCCATTATCTTTATAAATATAGGATAAAAATCAGTCTAAATGACTTTCTCAGACCTCCTCAAGGATTAAGTTGAGCCAGCTAGCCTTTAAAAAGTACACATACGTAGTAAAGATCAAAAGCAAATGTTCTGGTCAGTTCTTTTCTACTCATGGGTTTTACTAAGAATTTGTGCAGTTTTCAGGGAAAACACCACAAATGACAGCTGTTCAAAAGCATGGAAATTAATTGGCAGCAGGAATTTCCTTGACTAATAGGGAAAAACTTAATGTCACATGTTTTGATGAGCTTATTTTTCCCATCCTTAGTCAAGCATATTCAGTGTTAATGATTAAGTCAAGCAAACAGAAATATAACCAAGGAAAATCATGAGTACATTATCTTTTCCCAGTAGAACATAGCTACCCATTATCGAATGAACAATGTGTTAATAAAGGGGTTTTAGCTTGAAGCAAAAAATAGAGAAAAAGTTCTACTTGCAGGTCTTGATTTTTCTATAGGAAGTCAACCAAGACACGCTAAGAATAATATTAGTGCTTTATTACATTAAAAAAATAGTATCAAGACAAGTAACTCCTCTCACTCCTACCCCACAGTAAGCCATCTGCTTTGAGCTGTTTTTCCCGCAGTGAGGATGGATTTATATTGATCCATCCACAGTCTCTCTGGAACAGGGGCTCTCCAGTCCTTGCCTTGTGACCAATGGTGAGAACGGATGAGACAGCTGGTCAGGATTAGGCAGGCAGCCTGTGGCCCTGAGACCGGGTCGTGTTACTGTGCCCAAAGCTTGGTGCTATAACCTTGGACTCATTAGCGTTATGCTCTCATCACCCAAGCGAACAGCCACCGATCAGCCATGGCCCAACCTACATCACTCTGGGGGCACAGTGTGTTCTCAATCTCAGCAACAATGAGAGCTTTTCATTTTCCAGGAAGTCTGAACTGAGCCCATGACACTCACGGGCACATGTGTGATGGAATCTGCTTCAAGGCCTCAGTAAGATGTGCAAGAGTGGCAACATGGCCCTTCCATCTGAATCGAATGCCAGCTCTGTGGCACAGCTCAAGAAAAACAAGAAATTGCCAAAGCGTGTAATCCAAGTGCTGCAACAGAAACACATACCTGGCCATTCCCAGACTTGAAAAGTTGGCAGGGACAATGAGTATATCCAGGCGGGAGAATGGGTGTGTCCCTAAGACAGAATGTGCAGCTGAGAGGCAAGGAGGGAGCAACCACAGAAGGGTCTCTTGGCAGACTCCCTTGAGGCAGCCTGGAGCAAACACTCGATGAGGAATGACCTTCTGGGTGGTGGCCACGGCATCCTGGAAGCGGCAAGGGTATTCCATGTGACTGCAAACACCAACATACCTGGGAACAAGGTGAAAAAACAGACACGCTGGACAACCGTGTTTACTCTTCTTACCAAAGAGGTAAGGAACTCTTGCAGATGTGAACAACTTTTAGGAGACAGTGGTTCAGACAGGCTCATAAACAAAAGCAGTTCATTGAATTCTTGGCTTATCTCTTTCTGGACAGCAGTGAAATTTTACAGGTCAAAATACTTAGTAATGTGCTTGAATCAACTGAGTAGCTTCAATCTAATCTATGGAAAAGCAGTGAAATCTTGTTTTCATATAGACTGGATGGAGGGAAAACCTCATCCCAATAAAAATAATTTTTACCCTCAGTACTGTGCCTTTAAATGGCATAATTGGAAAAAATCTTCTGATCAGGAATGATTTGTAACTCAGAAAGGGGCAGACAAGGCAGTCAAATTAAAGATCCTAATCCAGGGCCAGAGATTTAGCTCAGTGGCACCACGCCTGCCTCGAAAGCCAAGGTCCTGAGTTCAATCCCCGGTACCAGAACAATAAATAAATAAAGATCCTATTCTGGAATTTCCTAGAATGAGAGACTGAGGTAGAACGATGAACCAAATAGCAGGCACAGGTACAGCGTTTCCAAAGAACACAAACCATTTTACTGAAAAGTAATCTAGAAGTTCTTTACCAAGCCCATCAGAAGTTGTTGAAGAACACATCTAACATCTAAAAGAAGTACTTTTGATACAGTGTTTTCTCCAATTACTTTCAATACAAATTTCACTGAGTCAACCTTTTAAGAAAACAGATCCCAGCCCAGCCAGCACAATCTGATCACTGCCAGTTATTCAAACGCAGAGCAGAAAGAGAATTCTTAGAACCTGACTCACAGGCCTCAAGAGAGCTTATCTACCAAAAAAACACTGACATCCAAGGGAGCTGTTTTTTCACCTGTTAACACCCTAGCCAGGTGTGGTATCACATGCCTGTGATTCCAGCACTTAGGAAGCTGAAGCAGAAGGATCATGGGGGATTTAAGGCCAGCCTGGACCACATAGTAAGTTGAAGGCCAGTCTTGATTACTTAGCAAGAGTCTGTCTCAAAACAAAGAAAAGAAAAGAGAAAAGAAGAAAAGAAAGGGAGAAGGGAGGGAGGGAGGAAGGGAGAGAAAGAAACACAAAGAAAAATTTTCAGAGATAACTGTGGTACTGAAGATATACATAAATTTAAATTCTATGTACCACCAACACTGCAAAGAGGCATTCCATCTAGAAACACATAGGCACAAGCCTGTTTCCATGGGGGAAAATTATTTCTTATACCCAAGAATACCAAAGGTTAGAGAGTGGATGAAGGTAGCCAAATTACAACCCCCAAAATCCCATTTGTTCCAAGGAGGGGGTGAATTAGATTTCTCTCTGGAGACTACATCATGAAGATGATTACAGTTGTATGAATTAGCACTTTTTTGTTTGTTTTGTTTTTGGTACCAGGGATCAAACTCAGGACCTTGCACTTGTGAGGCAAGCGGCAGCACCACTGGCTAAATCCTGGGCCCTTGCACCATTTTTTTTTTTTTTTTTTTTTTTTTTAATGAAAAGGCCAAGAAGAAAATGTTGGACTTTTAAAGCAATCAAGCTACAGACAAGTAAGGCTCCCAAAGGAAATGTAAATATCAATATCATGAGGAAAATTATTTGTGGGTTCCTACACGGGGACCAGAAAACCTGGCCTTCGTGGTTCTCAGATCTGCGGTAACCTGAAATGAGCAGCTTGATATCTGATGTTTCTCCTTCCTCATCTTGCCCATGGACTCACAACAATGGCTGGCAGAGGAGGGAAGGAACTGATTGGAAAGGAATATGAGGGAACTTTCTGGGGTGACTAAAGTTCTCTATCTGGTTTAGGGTATATACAATGATCAGAAACTCATCTAGCCAAATATTCAAGATCTGCACCTTAAGCTGGACATTAATTAAACTTTAATTCAAAATAAAGAAGGAAGCCAGGTGTGGTGGTGCACGCTTGTAATCTCAGCAGTCAGGAGGCTGAGGCAGGAGGATCACTGTGAGTTCGAGACCAGCCTGGGCTACATAGTGAGTTCCAGGTCAGTCTCAACTACATAGTGAGACCCTGTCTCAAAAAAAACCCAAGATAAATAAATAAATAAAAATAAGGAACCTAAAATGGTTTCCAAGGCTTCTTCTTGCGCTATGATTCTACAACTCACCACCTCAGCCCCTCTTCACACAACAGCCTTCTCTCTGAAGAGGTACAGAGACATCAACAGTGTTCCACAGATGCAGCATCAACTCAAAGATGCTTTTTCTTCCTTTCAGGGCAACTTGTCATAGTCTTTACAGCTCTAAAGCAGACCTCTTTCCTTGTGAAGCCTTTTTTAGAGCGAATGATCTCAATGCCTTTTCTTCTGCTTCACAGTATCCATTTTCCCTGCCTTTAATCATTTTTGCTGAGTTCCTCTGGATTTTATCCAAGTTTCCATACTGTGCGTAGTTGTATGGCCTCAACAAAGCCCCTGAGAGGTTAAATATAATACAAAATTCCCTCGTGGCTGAAACCAAATGAAATTAATAAACTTTCGACAGTTTATCTGAGTGCATTATAGCTAATGGATTTAGTTGAAATGCTCACCCAGAGTGGGCTGGCGCACGTGTGAAACTGGAGCTGGCACAAGGAATGTTGTTTCTATAATTCAGCCCACGTAAACAGTGATCAAAAGTTCAGTGGCTGATCCTGTGGCCAAATTTCTGGAACCCAGATGAACACTTTAGGCAAACGAAAGCCTGTGGAATACAAGGCCTCTGTAAAAGTTAGATTTGCATGAATTGAACTGGTGGTGTCAGGAAGGTCGGACATAGAAAGAGGCCTGGGGAAGGCAGAGGGGAACAGATGTGAATGTAACCAGAAACACCCCTGCGACTGGCACTGCAGAGCATTTGTGCAGCTAAATCTAGCACAGAGTCAGAGGTTTCATGGGTGAAAACACAAAGCTACCTCCTGAAGACTGAACCGCACACATGAAGCATGAAGCCAGGGCAAGATTAAGTAAATGTAAACTATTATTTTATCAGTACATTTCTAATGAACAAGTATACTGATAAATGAAGAGAAACTACAGGCAGACCTGGAAGGCAGAATGGGAAGAGCCCTGCTACAGGCCTTACAGTCCATAAAAAGACACATACCCTAGAGAGGCACAATGTGCTGGGCACCTGGGCCTCGTCTCTGCGGACCCGCCAGCCCCCACAGAGTGCACTTCCGGGCCGGCTACACTCAGGCTTGGCAGGCCGTGCACGCAGGTATGGAGGCTAGCAGCAGTCTGGCTGGGTTGATGACTACGTGGGGAAACTTGTCCAGTTCAGAAACTGAGTATTAGAAAGTCCACTTGAACGCCTACTCAGTCCACCCACTTCTGTCCATTTCCTCCTGAGGTCCCGAATATAGGAGGACAACAGAGGAATAAGTTATGCCTTCCCTGAAATCCCAATAGGAATTTTAGGCATCATCTCTTTTCAGAACCCCCATTTGATTTGGCCATGTCCTCCCCATTTTGGAATAATGGATGCAGGACAAGTGAGAGGCCCTCAGCTGTTTCTGGGCAGGACGAAAAAGGACACAGGAAATTGGTGCTGCCCATTCCTTCACCCCTTATCTCCTGGGGACATGGCTTGAAGGCCAAAGTAACACTACTTTCTCCTAACCTTTTTAAGGCACGCATTTTTCAAGCTCATTTCGTGAACAGCCAATGAAACCTGAGTCTTTAGGTGAAGAACAGAGTACTCCTTCACTATGAAGAATTTGAGAACCCATGAACAGTCTTCATTGTATAGAAAAGGAAACTGCACTTTGCCCAAGGTGCCATATCCAGCCAGGTAGCACCTTCAGGCTCATAGGCTGGTTCCTGTTCTAAGACAACACACTCATCAATATCAGTAGCTCCATCATGGCAGAGAACTCTCTAGTAGGAAGCTGGCTCAGAATCCAGATAGATGTTACGTACAGTTTTTAAAAATCTGTAGGTAATATTCTAAATCACCTTTCTAAGAGGTCAGACCTGGCTGTGAATCCAAGTATTATTCCTTAGTAGACAGAAGAATATGACCAAGTTACTGTCTCGGCCTTAGTACACTTACCTATAAATGGGAATACTAAAACAAATCCTTTTTTTATTTTTTGGTACTGGGGATTGAACTCAGGGCCTTGTGCTTACTAAGCAGGTAGCAACACCACTGAGCTAAATCCCTGCTCCACCCCTCCTTTTCTTTTTGGTACCGGGGATCAAACTCAGACCTTGTGCTTGTGAGGCAGGTGGCAGGACCACTAAGCGAAGTCCCTGGCCTACCAATCCGTCTTACAGGCTTATCATCAGGATTACATAAGACACAATTTAGACCAAGACTTTTCCTGACTTCAGACAACCAACAGCTTCTATCACTTTCGGATAGGCGAGGACAGAGGTGGTAAACCTGTGCTATGGCCTGCATTGAGAGCGCTCTCGAAGGTTTGCTACACTGGGCTACAATGTGTTCCCATAACAGACAGCCCCAGCATTTTGGGGCCTGGTACAAGAAAGTTTCTCACTCATACTCATCTACTGTAGATCCAAGTGACTCCTCAGGGAACTCATTCAGTTCAGGCTGCTCACAACTGCAAAATAAAGCTGACCCTGGGGTCCCAGTGCAGGCACAGAGAGCAGTGATTAAACATCCTCACACGGAAGCAGGATACGTCACTTGTGCACACAATTCTCTCCTTCTCTCAGGGGGCATAAAATCTGACAAACAAGAATATTCTATACAGCTCAGGAAAGACACTTCAAAATGGACATTCCTTACTGAGCAAGAAGAGGAAATTAACTCTCTTCTGCCAAAAAAGCAAAACGTGGGAAGTAATACATGCCTGTTAGAAAAAAATAACACATGGCTTTAGCTCCTAAAGATATCTAGTCACTTGTAAGACTAAAGTAGCACGGCAAAATGATACCACCTCAAAAGGAACTTGCACTAAGAGTGGGTCCTAGTTGGTGTTCAAGAATAAACAGAGGGCCTGCACCATTTCTCTGGACTGTCTCCACCAGAAAGAACTGGCCTAAAGGATTTGGTAAAAAGGAAAAGACGGGGCTGAGCTGGGTGTGGAAGTCTTCAGAAAGGAGTGTGATGTGTGCAGACTTCTCCATCCCTTCTGGGCAGTTCCCTCCATCTCCTTCTCAGCTCTCAAAGCTCCTCCCTCCTCCTTTCACAAGAGGCTGCCAGTGAATATCCAATGGCCTGCACTATTTTTAACAATCTCAAATGGGTTTTCTCTGATCCATTCCAAAAACAAAAGAACTCAGGATTCCCTGAGCCCCAGGGGCTTGTGGCAGCTTCCTTGTGTCCTCTGCTCCCACTCCCGGAGGCCTCCCCGCCAAGGCACTGCTAATTGCAGTCACCAGAACCAAAACAGTGGAGTGGCCTACAAAGCCATCTGTAGATGAGCAACTTCTTTTTATTAAGTTTCTTTTTGAGCAGATAAATACTAAAACCAAAGTTAAAAGATGTAGGAGGAAGGAGAGTGGTGAAGCTGAGGATTCTTTTAAACAAACATATAAAAATATCTCACCTGACTTCACAGAGGATTTCATATATACTTATTTTCTCCTCTCTTTCTACATAAACAACATGCACACATTTCTGTCTCTTGACTCTCTTGCTTCCTGGTCTGCCTTTTCTTGCTCTGATGAATCCTATTTTGGTTTGGTTTCTCAGCAGAGATGACTCATATTCCCAGAGCTTGGAAGACAAGCATCACACTGCTGCTCCCCCCGCAAGAGCTTGTTTTTCAGCAAGTTCCCAAATACATACCTGCAGTCTGTCTCGGAGAGTGGGCAGGGTCTCTCTATCACCAGATCATCTGACGACCACATCTTGGGCATTACCTCTGTCCAGCATCCCACCGCAATTGTAAAGGTGGAGGCTGGCATCGGCATGGTAACATAGTAATGCCAGCTTGAGCACCCTACAAACAGAGAACAACCAGATATGAGGCCAGTGCATGGCTCTGGACCTTACTCTGTTTCCTCTCCTGGGGCACTTGAAGAGCTTGTGAGATTAACAGGCAAGAGGCCATTCTTAAAGGTGGGTCACATCAACTGTCACAATTCTCAGTGACAGGCAAGGAAGAGGAGGGATAACGGCTTCAAGGCAGCCAAAGAAGTCTAGTGTCTTCCAGTGACCAGTTTGAAGACCTCAAGTGAAGCTAGATGTAAAGGGAGGTAGTAGGAGGTCAGGCACAGCTGCCAACAAGGAAGGACATTGGTGGTGTATTCCCAGAGACAGGAATGCATAATATTCATCCTTATTGCCTGGCATATTATTTGGCATTAGAAAGGGAAGCACAATTAATATTTGCTGAAGGAATGAAGAATGATCACTTTTTTGCTGTAACTAAACCACTTTGCCTAAATGCAGTTCAACTCCATCTGAATGGATATAGTAGAAAGCTGAAACTAGGCAAAGAAAATGGTTGGGTTTTTGTATCAACTCTGAAACTAACTAGTTATGGAGGTTCAGGTCCTATCTTTCACCTTTTTTTATGATATACATTTTTTATTGGCATAAGTTTATAATACATGAAATTTACATCTGTTTGGGGGTTTGGTAATATATGCAACCCATCTCAATCATTTTCAGTCTCCTCTTTCCCCACCCTCCCCTTTCCCTTGATTCCATATACTCCTACCCCCAAAAGCCTGCTTTTATTTTTACCCTTACTTTTTTTATAATTGGGCATCCTTTTAATCTGTTTAGCTGATCTCCTGCTCCTTACTGCACAAATGAAAAACAGGAGTAGAGAATTCAGTGGGATCAAGGACTCCTAACTAGTTTATAACACGGTTGGGATTACTCCAGGGGGCCCCCACCCAGGATGAAGGTACACTCTCTCCATTTAATCTAAACCTCAAAGAAACAAAGAAGTGATAACTTATAGTACTCTACTTCCCTCACTTCTAAGATGGGAAAATCATTTTAATGTTTCTGAAATCTAAATGAATCACATAACCTTATGTAAAAGCATTTTTAAGGATCTGCTATAAATTGACAGTCTGTCCTAAAATAAATATAACTCTGGGCCAGGGATTTAGCTCAGTGGTTCTGCTGCCTGGCTTGCAAGCACAAGGTCCTGAGTTCAATCCCCAGTACCAGGAAAAAAAAATCATACAAAAAAATACATATGACTCTATATTATAAAACACATTTCTCCATTCCTAATGTCCAATGACAGGGAGTTTGATTACAGTAACACATTTCTTTAACCTACTTATAAGAATTATTATTCTCTTTCTTGCTTTAAATTTGAGAGAGTTAAGCATCTGGGGAGTAGTCTGTGATTGTTCAATTTCATGAGTGAGTGGATGTCAAATTCATGTCCATGCTGGCCAGCAACACTAACGTGGCATTTTTCATTGCTTTTACCATTAAAAATCAATAGAACCGGGAAAGAGATGTAGCTCAGTGGCACTGCACCTCCCTGGCAAGTGTGAGGTCTTAAGTTTGATTCTTGGTACTGGGGTCGGGGGGGAATCAGTAGAAAGGGCCAAGGATTTAGCTCAGTGGCACCATGCCTGCCTCACAAACGCAAGGTCCTGAGTTCAATCCTTGGTGCCAGGGAAAAAAAAAAAAATTAATAGGAAAAGTTGAATTTTGATCTCTATATTCCTGGCTCCTTTATCAGCTAATTCTGAATTCAGGAAAAGTCATTATTATCCTCAAACTCTAGCAACTTAGATTCAAAGAAATACAGTGTGGAATTCCTCTAATGAAAAATAACAAAGATGTAAGAAAAAATAAGTATAGCTTCTGGTGAAATTCAATTTTGAAAGTCACAGGAGGATGTCACTGAAGGAGATATGCATAGGGTACATGCAACAAACACACTGACAACTAGCATAGGGCACCCATGCTCTGAAACCTGCTTATAAGTTGCAATCTGCTTCTGTTTTTTAATTTTGTTTCGTTTCTAGGGACTGGGGTTCGAACTCAGGCCCTTGAACTTGCAAGGCAGGTGGTGGAACCACTGAGGCAAACCCTTGGCCCTGTATCCTGCTTTTGAAATCAGGTGCCCGCCCCCCCAGTTCTGAGGGTTAAATTCAGAGTCTTCAGACTGAGCTATGACCCAGACCCTTTTTTTACTTTGAGACAGATCTTGCTAAGTTTCCAGGCTGAACTCAAACTTATGATCCCACCTTAGCCCCCCAGTGTGCTGAGATTATAGGAGTGTGCTACCATGCCTGGCTCGGGTGGGCGCCCTTGAGAGCCCTCTCTTTGTAGCTGATTGACAAGTTGAAGCATCTCCTTTTCAAAGAGACAGTCAAGTCCAGAGAAGTCGGAGACAAGCCAGTGATGTATGTAGCTTCTATTGGGCTTGAAGCAAAATCATATTTTAAAGAGAAATACTGCCGAGATCCCAAGCCACTTAGAAGTTGGAAGGGACAGGCACAGAAATCTTGATAAAGCATGACGTGGATCTGACACGACAGGCTATAACCACGTCTAACTCCTTCACTTTTCTGCTTTTCCATAACTACTCCTAGTAAGGGATCCAGTAAAATATATATCTTTGGGAGTCCAGTAAATAAGCAGCAACGGTGAGACTTCCAGTTGAAAATGGAGGCTTGAACGTAGGAGGCCACTTCTGCCTCCCCTAAAACTCCACTGTACGACAGTAAAGTGAATTTTTTTAAAGGCATAAACCAATATGAGCAGGGAGAACAAAATTGGAGACGATAGCTACAAGATAAGGAAGTTGCAGATAATATAGTAGGACCTGCGATAGGGAAGGATGAGACCTGCCTCATTTTACCCACTAGAAGCCCCAAAAGGGTCTAGGATAAAGAATGTGCTACACTAAGCAGGCCTGGATGAATGTTCGTCTAAGAAGTGACGAGATCCGTGAGCACCCTCGCCCACTCTACGCCTAGGCTATCTGCCCATCCGCCACAGGCACTGGCAAATAACTGGAATTTTATTTTTTAGAGAACAAAAGACAGGACCTCTGTACTAGAGGAGTGGGGAAATGGGAGAACAGATGGTATAAGTGAGAGCAAATGAATAAGACTAAACGAACACATGCATATCGGATGCTGAGACCACCAGCCATTTCCCCTTGGTTCCCAGAATGCTGGTCGCCAAGTTGTGTCCCCCTTCCCCAGGCAGGAGACGGAAGGAAGCTGACCACTCAAGAACAGATGCCCAGAGACATTACTATTAGCCGTTTCCTACGATCAGCCGATGGGGAGCATCACAGTAGACCAGGCCTATTTATACACTCAGAGCCTTGGGTCTGCACTGTCACCCTCTTCCCCAAGGACCTTCAGAAACCTCCAGCACCTTTACAACACTATGAGAAAGAAGAAATTTGGAAGATAGCAATCACTTGGGAGAAGAAAAGTTCAAAAAGCACCAAACATACAAACATTGAGAATTAGGAGACTTAAGCCCCCAAACAGAGTACAGTATTCTAAAAGGGAGCTCATTAGATAAGAAAATTAAAAACATGACAGAAGAAAAACTCAATAAAAGGAAAGGTATAAAATATAAGGGAAATCTTTCAGATATAGAGCTAAATAAACAAACACAGAAAGATGTGAAAAAATATAGTCCAGGAGTTCTAACATACAAGTGATAGAAACTCCAGAAAAAAACTGATAGTGAAATTAGAAGGGAGCAAACCAGCAGGAAAAAATATCAAGAAAACTGCCCCAAACAGAAGACAACATGGGGTTTCTAGACTGAAAGACCCAAACAAGCCAGGACACTAGGTACAACTGACTCACATCAAAAAATGTCATTATAAAACATAGCAGTCTGGGAACAAAGACAAGATCGTCAAACAAAGACAAGCTTCCAGAAAGAGACAGAAAAAGAAAAGATACATAAGATATGAACATTTTCAGATGTGCAGCGTTTAAAAAAAAATTCACCTCTTACACCCTATATTCTTTGCAAGTTCATAGACTATGTAAAGCACATTTCAAAAAAGAGACAGTAAACCAATAGAGAGGAAGACAGGCAAGCCAGGGAAGGAGAGAAAGAAAGGAACTGGGAATGATGGAGCTGTGCACCCAGCAGAGAGGGCAACCAGTACCCACTGAGACAGAGGAGGCCTTGGAGAAACTGTTTCTGAAAGATGAAATTTAGAGAAACGATGTATTTGAGAATCTTGAAAGGAGATTTCAACAATTTTCAAAGCATCTAAAGTTGATAAATACATAGAAAACAAAGAATGGGAAAAAATAAGTAATGATACCTTTATTAACTCTAAGAAAAAAACTAACATATGCAGAAATAATAATATTATCATAGTTTGACTAGAAGCTCACCTCTTATTTACATACATACATATAATACAAATGCAGAATGTCCATTTCATCATCATCATGGTATTAACTACATTAAGAAGAAAGGATTTTAGGAAGGATGTGTACATATGATGGGGTTGGGGAGGTGAGCTAAATCCTTACCTACCATAGTGGGAAGACCAACCCTGAACAAACAAGCATCTCATCGAACATAGAGATAAGCATCAAATAATCACCCAAATGAAGTAAAACAGCAAGTGCTTCTGAAGCAGGAAAAAGGGGTAAGGGAACGGGAACAGAGACTGCTATTTGGGAGTATAATAAACTCAACAAAATTATTTGACTATTTAAATACTATATTTTTAATTTTCATTTTTAATGAAACAGTTCAAATAAACCCAATCAATGAATTAAAAGCTTATGGGGGGTGTGCCACGGATTGAACTCAGGACCTCGCACTTGCCAGGCAGGCAGGTGCTGTGCTACTGAGCGACATCCCCGGCCCATTAAAAGGTGATCTTAACAGAAAAGGAGCAACAGTTTTAGTCCTACGGTACTAGTAAAAAGAGACAGGATGGCTCAGAAGGAAGAAGTAATTTAGATAAGGACTAGCTAGGCACCACCTATTGGGAAATTTTTTTTTTTTTTTTGGTATTGG